ACAACAGATATAAGAAGGAAGATGTGTACAATAATGTGGAGGGAGAGTCCTCTCCAGTCGCACTGAGAGGCTGATAACTACAGCTCAGTGAGGTAAGGAACTCTGAGTGTTAGGCATTAGTTAAATGTTAGTCTAAAGTTCAAACGGTTCTGTCCAAAATTTATGCTAAACACATACCTTTCCAGGCACTCCTTTATAATTATTGGGTAAAAAGGTTGAAATCATTCCAATGTATACTATAGGACAGTAACCAACAAATATCCTTTAAAACTGGAGAGATAAAAAAATAATGCATACAGTAAATAAATGTTAAGGTAAAATAAGATATGAATGAACAACACAAATGAAATAAGTTACATTAATTTGTTATTGGCTATGGTAGGTTATTGGTTATCTTCACTGCATGTGTGTTCTGTGTTCACCTCTGCATGTGTGTTCAGTGCCGTGTGTCTGGCAAATAAAGTCAAGACCCCCTCAAAAGTTACGGTTTATTTCATTTTAAGGATGAGCACCAAGCAACATCTCCAGGTGCTCCTTTTTTTCCTTTTTTTTTTTCCTTTTTTGAGAACCAGGGCAAAAAAGTTATGTGCACCCCTGATAATAAGAACATCCAACTTATAACTAAAATAATGTCTAGATTCAATCATTTATTTAATGCAGTATTGGAATATCCACATACACGTTTAAGAGAAATAATTAAAAAAACATTCCCTCTGTTTTGAGCACTGAGGTTTTTTTCTTTATTTTTTGTTTAAAAGCATCTCCTAAAACTCAGGGACAACCTTGGTTTTGAAAGTCTGGTGATGTACTCAGAGTACAAAAACCCCCATGAGATTTTAGTGAATGCCCAAACTTTTTTCACATCTTAGGGGTTACCTGGGAAACTCTTACTTATTTTCTTCGAGCAAATATAGGTGCACAAAACAAAAGATGGCCTAATGTAAATGTTTGCAACACATTGTGGAACGACATGACGGAAAGTTATTCAAACGTTTTTTCAATGAAACTGTTTGAAGTTCAGTTGATGCGACAAAGACTTGTACTGATATTATCAACCCCTATTCAAACTCTGAATGAAAGTGTGACAAGAAAATGAAGTGAAAGATTTGTTACATGATGTCCGAAACAAAATGAGCCGTTGAAAATACTAAACAGCATGAGCACATGTTGACAGTTCTCGAGATATCAGCCAACAACTTTCTTTTGACATACAGCAGATATGGTTGGAAGTAACATGTAATAAGAGAGCAAGACCTGTGTGTGTGTTTCTCTTCTAGGTGGTCTTGAGTGGAAGTGATAACAGATACATCCTGACTGGCCTGAGCCCCTCCACTGAGTATGAAGTTATGTTGACGGCTGTGTTCAAAGACGAATCTGAGAGTGACACCATCTCTGTCATAGAGACCACATGTAAGTCACATTAGACTGATTGATGGTGCATGAACAGCTGCACTGTTTCTAAATCAGACTGTTGTAGTATTTGCTGCATCTTATTAATACAAAACTAAATTAGAATCTTGAAACTTTCAAGACAAAAACCAGAGAAGTGAGTGCAATTTCAAAGATTAAAATCCCCTTGGTTATGTTGTAAATTAGCCTGTGACCTAAATAATCCTCTTCACCTAAGTGCCACTGAGATCAGTCCAATCACATTTTCATTTCAGGATCATAGAATTAGCATTTCTGAGTTCAAAGAGTGGCTCTGCATGAGCCCTTTTGCATTGATTTGCTTATCTCAGAGGAAAGATAATCTATTTTCCGCATTAATAATTTGTGTTTTTCAGTCTAATTACTGTAGTTATTGAAACAGAGAGATGTTGAGGAGAGGTTCTATTGAATTGTCTTATTAATGTTCTCTTTTCTCCTCTCAGTGGTCAAGACGACAACAATGTCTACTACAACAGCAGGTAAGAAGTGCTTTTGTGTACCATTACAAAATGTCAGGAGTGAAAGTGTCACAATCAATGATTAAACAGTCAATTAAAAAGTTTAGACACGATTTGTCATGTCAAGTCAGATTCAAACTGTGCTTGGTGAAACATTTCTGGGCAACTCTTTTGCTTCCATGTGGGCAGCAGACAAAGTAGTACTTGCTTCAAAAAACTACCCGAGCAGAGAGGCTGGACACATTTCAATCACAATTCAAGCCAAGACATCTGTGTAGAAAGTGTAGTGCATTTTACATATGAAAGACTCTTTCCAGGGCGTGCTGATGTTGCCAGAGTTCAGGCAAAGTTCTAGCAAGTTCCCGTAGCAAAGTTTGGGTTTGGATGCTCATTTAGTTTCAGGAAGCAAAACCAGAATTACTGAGAGCTTAGAAAAGCTTCACCCTGTCTGTTCTGGGTAAGGTTGATGCATGCAGTACTGAAAGATTGATTACATTTGCAAGCAGGATTTAGTGTTTTTACCAAATTGGCTTCACCCAGAGACTATAGTTCAAACGTCATCATCTCAAGGGTGACCTGCAGGCCATCTGGATTGTGTTTCGTATGAAGAACAGGACACAACCAGTAAAGCTTTAAAACACAACATTTCTCCTTTATTTAATTCCCTGCCCACCATCCTATGAACTTTAAAAAGACCAAATGCTCCTGTGAAAATCACAAGTTAAAGCCGCCAGCGATTCACCTCCGTTTTATACAAATCAATGCTTTTAATTCAACGCTGCAATCTGTATGGAGCCCTTACACTGATTTGCATCCACACAGGACTGCTAAGTCCTTAAAAGAATCCTCGTGGATTCATCTTCTTATTATAGACACATGCATTTCCAAATATGTGGTCTACCTATACTGTAAATGTATTATCTCTTCAATTTACACACGGCATCTATTGCACGTCTGTCCGTCCTGGGAGAGGGATCCCTCCTCTGTTGCTCTCCCTGAGGTTTCTCTCATGTTCCCCTTTAAACTGTGGGTTTTCTCTGGAAGTGTTCCTTGTACGATGTGAGGGTCTAAGGACAGAGGGTGTCGTATTGTCATACTGATATTCTGTACAAACTGTGAAGTCCACTGAGACAAATGTAACATTTGTGATATTGGGCTATATAAATAAACATTGATTGATTGATTGATTGATTGAAAAATGATGGCATCGATACCAAACCTGCCTGCCTAAACATATTGATACTGATAGTGAAACGATGCCGTGGGGCCAGCAATCATATTACCAATGGATGTGGGAAAGGAATTGATTGTAAAAGCCAAACATTGGTCTAAAATATTTGAAGGAACCTAACCAGTAGGACTTGTGTTAAATCTTGATTTCAAAAAATGTGTTTGGTCTGATTTTCACTGGGATAGTTATCTTTTAATAAACCTGCTCAAATCTGACATTCAAGGCTTGCCATACATACTGTATAAAAAGGTTCCTTAGCTGCTTAGAAAAACTGAGAAAAGTTGTTTTCCTCCAACTTTTCTCCGAAGAATAATTGAATATAATTTAAAAAGTCGAACGGACAGACCCTTTTGGAAAAGTAAGAAGATCTGAAAAACGTTTTAAAGGATCATCCCATACGTATAAAAGTGAAAACGTGAGCATTTTTTATTTAAAACCATAAGCAACGGCACTTCTGCAGGTCACCATTGAAAAAGAGGTCAATGATCTCAATGGGTTTTCACCTGAATAAATAAAGGTGTTGAATTGAATTGAATTGACTTCTGGAAAAAGTAAGAAAATCTGAGAAAGTCTGAATGTTGTAGCATTATAGAAACAGTGGATGAGTTGGATAACATGCATGTTAACTTAATAACATGCATCCATCATTATCCATTATCCACAAAGATGGCAAAAGTACACACATCCTTTACTCAAGTAGAAGTACAGATACTCGTGTTTAAAAGTACTCTTGTAAAAGTAGAAGTACTGACTAAACTTCTTTACTCAAGTGAAAGTAAAGAGGCTTCGAAATGTACTTCAGTAAAAAGTACCCGTAACTAGCAGCTGTTTTAAAGAGTACCTGACCTCCCTTTATATTAATAGAACAATAATGTTATTGTTAGCTAATGAATGTTTCCATGCTGAACAACGGCAACATGACAACGTTTTCATTGGTCCCTCTTCTTTAGAGAAGACCAGGAAATGATGGATACACGGATCGTGTTCAAATCAATAGGCACGCAATGACTCTAAATAATAATGATCACGCCACCAAACACACATTCAGACTAAAGGAACCAGCCTGTTTGGGAAATGTGAGAAGTAGAAAGTACAGGTATTTGTGTTCAACATGTAAGAAGTAGAAAGTACAGGTATTTGTGTTCAACATGTAAGAAGTAGAAAGTACAGGTATTTGTGTTCAACATGTAAGAAGTAGAAAGTACAGGTATTTGTGTTCAACATGTAAGAAGTAGAAAGTACAGGTATAAAAAAATGTACTTAAGTACAGTAACAAAGTATTTGTACTCCACTACTTCCCACCAGTAAGTACTTTGATTATAAACAGCATCTCCAGCCTACCCTTTCTTCCCGGTGTTCCTGGGATCCCGTCTCTAGTTCCCGGTCCGGGGGGTCCGGAGGGTCCTCGGGGCCCCGGAGATCCAGGGGTACCGGGCACGCCGGGGGTCCCCTTCATCCCCGCTGGTCCTGGGAAACCTGAGTCTCCTCTGTCTCCCTTTCTACCGGGGAAACCTGAGTGGGGACGGACGAAGGACGGCGAGACGGGCAAAAGAAAGGCGGAGGAATTTAGTCAGAAGGAGAAGGAATTATAGGCAAAATCTATACACTAATAGACAGGGTAATTTCACTTCTTCATACGCTTAAGTGAAGAAAAGGAAGGAGGAATTTAGTCAGAAGGAGTCCTTCTGACTAAATTCCTCCTTCCTTTTCTTCACTTAAGCGTATGAAGAAGTGAAATTACCCTGTCTATTAGTGTATAGATTTTGCCTATAATTCCTTNCACACACACACACACACACACACACACACACACACACACACACACACACACACACACACACACACACACACACACACACACACACACACAATATGTTGACAGACACAATGAGAGACAGTAGCCTGTTTCTGTTCAGCTGAAACTTTTATAATCCTCTTCCTTCCTTCGACAGTTGAGTTCTGGACCTTGACAGAGAAAAGATTTGTGGTGCAATCTGTACTTACAACCTACGTGTGCTAAAGTAACCCAGGTGCTGTGTTGCACTCCGTTTATCTTTCTTTCCATCACTTACTTACAGCAATCAGATTTTATCTTTTTACTTTCTGTATATATCTCTCTCTTGCCTATCCGTGCCTATAAGTCAGGGACAGCAAGAGTTCTATTCTCATCAGTCTAGTATCTTTCTGACCAGGGGCCGTCTTTTTTAAAGTTAAAAACAGGCCCCAGGTTAAAGTATGCCTCGGTGCCAAGCCAATTACTTTGCAGAAAGGAGTTGGTTCTGTCAAACCAGGGTACACCAAGTGAATCATCTTGAAAACATCAACAACAGCCCTAAGAGAGGGGCACAAACTTCAGGAGAGTAGGTAGAATCTTTTCAAAAAAGGGTATTTCAGCTTCACTAGTGACTTGACAAAAGTGATTATAAGTAAAGAATGTGCTTGCTGCTATTGTGATATTTGCTGTTTTGTTGATTTCATTTACTTTCTTTACTGTCCCTCCACACTAAAGACTTTTACAGTGTGAATCTATCAATCTCTATAACACAGGTTATGAGCGACCGCTCCTGGTCCCGTGAGCTGTGAGGTTCCCCTCGGCTACTCAGCTGAACAATAAACGTATACAGCAGCAGCCATTATGTTCTCAGAGAGAGAGAATCACAGAGACATACCAAATACAGGTAGCACAGTAGCTTATAGGGGTAAGACTACAGCGGGGGAAATGAGGTATGGGGAGAAAGAACAGAGAAAGGAGTGAGTGAGGAGGTGACAGTGGACAAGAAAACAAGTGGTGAAAAACTGGGATGAAGGGTTGAGTGGGTGTGTGTCTGTCTTTGTTCTTACTACACATACAGAGATGAGGACATTATAGATGTAAATACAATGTATAAAACTTTTGCAACATACACGTCATGTCAGTGATGGAGACAGCAGGTCCCTCCATTTCCTGCATCTGGGTATGAACGCTGATCTGGTACTGGCTCCCGGGGGTGAGGTCGTAGAAGCACTGTCGGGAAGAACCAGCTCCCAGGCTCACTTCCTGCCTCTGACCGTCTGCAAGGACACAACAAAACAAAAACGGACTTACATTGGATGAAGTTCAAGATCAAAAGCCATACAATACAAATAAGCTCAATTCCCTCAAAAGCTCCTGTTTCACATTAACTGTATTTACAGAGCACATTTCCGTCTTTTCTGCCTCGTTCTGTATCATATCCAAGTCTTGGAGCTGCTATGTGTAATCATTTGTTTACAATTTGATACTGAGCAGCTTTATTGGAGCAGTCAGGGTGTATGCAGCAAAATGTCACTGTCCTGCAGGCATGCTCATGTCATCTGGAAATTCAAATTTGATTTAAAAAGCTTCCCTGTGTAAAATCGAATATAACATTATCGATAGTAAAAAATAAACCATTGTTTTAGGATTACCGAAAGTAGGATATTATATGACATAAATTATCCCAATTTTTTTTTTTTTCCTCTTCTCTTTGCAAGTTCCTTTGAATTGCGGACTGCAAACAGTTTCACAACGGTTGAGTGGTTGTTATGAAAACCGTAGAGGAACGGCATCGCAGGAAATACTTCTTAAAATAATTTGAATTGGTATCAAAAAATTAACAACCTGGACACTGCGGAGTGCATATACAACTGTACTAATAGGTGCCATTTTTCAGTTTCATTAGTCTGATGTTATTTCCTTATGTGTTTCTTATATTAGAGCTATAGTTTTGCTCATCATGCAAACAGGAAACTACCATGAATAATAAAGTTTGGGAAACAGCTGTTACATAGACCGTTAACTTTTCATCTGAGAAGGTGTCTGAGCAGCTGGTTGGCTGTCTGTGGATTAAACAAAATCTCTTAACTCCAGCAAGAATATCCAGTTGCTGCTTAGGCAGAAGACAGGGAGACACAGATAAATAGAGAACCATGGGAGGAAGGAAGATGGAAGAGGGAAGTCTTCCTACTTTTTTTCTGTAAAAAAAACGTGTTTAGAAACCACTTACTGTAGAATTAGTTTTATTTTGGTCTCAAACCCTATTACCAGCCGACACTCAAATTTGTTTTAATGAAGAGTAACAACTAATCATCTACTGAAACCCTGAAGACAAATCCATTAAAAAAACAGAGCGATTATTTCATTTGCTATGTGCTTTTCTCTCAGAATACACTTTGTCTTGCCAAAAAGGTGCACCTAATAAAAAGCAAATTCATAGATATTGTGTTTACATTGTTGTAAAGTAAACACTTTCTTTTTCAAAATGCGCTAATGATCTAAATGAAGGTTTATTTGTAACATAAGACACCTATGAACCTAAGCTTAACTTGTCTGTTAAAATCGTTTAGCTGGTTTACATAGAAATATTCTCAGTTAAATATCTTTACAAGTTTGTTCATCTTTTAGACTTAAGACACATTAGTCTGTTGTGTGCCATTTTATCATGCAACAGTAGCAGAGCCATCTCTCTGTGAAATTATCTGGGGTTTTTTCCAGATCTGTGTGTGACATGATCTGCGTGCACACTGAAATTAATTAGGGAGGCCCAATTTGCCCCAGAACTATCATTATAAAAATAATTTTCTATCACATAGTGCGGCAAGTAGTGGTGTTTTAATATCAAACCAAAGCAGAAGATCTTAAATGTAAATTTGTGTAGGTGAAAATCCAGCAACAAGGCATCTGGATCTGCTTAGTATGCGACCTTTTGACACATGCTGACATTTAAAAAATAAACATAGACTAGACAAAAGGTTTTGTTTCATGGTCAGATAAATAATAAAAACAATGAGCATCCAACTCACAACAGGCACACCAAGAAAACTAAACCTTAGAGAAACAGTAAATCCACTCACAGCGAACAGTTTCATTTGTATTTATCCTCAGAGGGCAGTTGGGTGTGCAGCAGGAGTTTATATTATATATACTGTAAAACAAAACAGTCTCAAATAACAAGAATATTGCCACAATAGAGAAACCGAGATATTTGTTGTCTCTGTTTGCATTGTACATCCACCAATCCAAATATCAAACATCTCCAAAATAGCTTACTGTTGACAGGGTTTTGTTTCAAATAGATTTAAGTATATATTAAAGATAAGGTCTTTCTTTGTTCCCTCCTTCTTTTCTTCTTCCGTCTCCCTTTTTTTCATTTATGAACTGAGCGGGCTGATGATTAAACAACCTCTAAAGGTCATACTCTCTGAACACTCTTTCTCATCTGTTTTATTTATGACGGGATGACAAGCGAAATTCTCCAAGCGGTTTCCTCTCATGTTGGTTATTAGGGAGAGATCGGATGTATATCAAACCTCCCTTCCTTTCTACAAATGAATAGATTTATGTATGTCCTTGACTCTGCACAACACTGCCATGTCAAAGTGAGAGAAATATGCAACACTTATTTCCTCAGAGGCTCATATCATTATGACTCCAGATATGTAACCAACACACATGTTACCATCACAACCAAAACCAAAGAGTCCTGAGCTGACTGGTCTTTGTGTTGATAATAATAAACAGTGGTGACATTTTCACAAGGACACACTGTAAATCTATAATGAAACGTATCCAGCCCACCTCACCAAATATCACAACTCATGTAAAACTGATTTACTGACTTACTTGTATTCCAGTCACTTATCTGGCGAAAGCCTTGTGCTCACGACGTGGAACGCGGGAACGTGCTGGGATGAGTGAAAGTGCACACACACGTTGCTGAGAACATCTGTGGACTGCGTGCATCTGTTCTAACATTACTGCTTGTTTCTGAACAATTCAACTTTTTAAAAAGTGTGATTCAGACTACATTTCAACAAGATGACGAAGTTACACTTCAATTAAATTCATAACCTTATGTCAATAAAGTTACCGTTTGGACAGAACTGCTCTCATAAAAAAAGCCAATCTAATGAAAGCACTAAATCAAGAAATGAACTCAGTTTTCACCACCTTTAAGAACAGATTTGAATTCTGGCCCACACACAGGCATCATGGACGACCATACAATAGTAGATGAACTTACTGAGTGTAGACTGAATGGAGACTCTGTATAACGTGGCCTGTAGAAGAGGCTGCCACTGGACACACAGGCTGATGGGACGTATCTGGTAGGTCGACAAGCCAGAGACACCCAGGAATACTGCAGATAGAGAGGCAGGCAGATGGAAAGATTACAGAAAAATCTATTTAGAATAGATTAATCAATTTTCATACAAACATGAAGCAGAACAAAGTTTAAGTTTGTAACACTTGTCAATTGTTTTTACTATCCTTTCAAATTAATGACAGTAATACACATGGACTGAACTGATGTTAAACATTACTGAAACATTCATCTCTAACCAACGTGGCACATTTTATGATCATAAACGTTTTGGTTTTTGTCGCTTTTGTGACATGTCTGGTTAGACCGCCCCCAACCAGCTCCTTTAACCGCTATACGACCCAAGACTCAAGAGACACTCGCTCGCATAAAAGTAGCACTCTGACTGTCATTGCTCTAGCCATGGATCATGTGGACTTTATTCTCCACATCGTATTAGTGGTTCAGCTAAAGCTTTCTTTAAGCCACGTTCCCAGTAGACAAAAAACTCACTAACACCTACGACTATGTGGCTTTTGTCTTCAGTGGGAAAGGTCAAAATGTGCATTCATTACCGGGACAAATGACAAGAAGAAAATAAATTGTCTAATTAGGTTGGGAAAGTCTAAGGCCCATTTGAGCGTGTTTTTACTTTATTTAAAATAATAATACAAATCTATAATTGCTCATTTTGGTTGTAAAAGGGTATACGTTTGTCTAACTTTGCAGAGATATATCATCAGGTAAACTACTTTGACTAGAATGTGGTCAGTTTAGCTCTACTGGGTGTAAAAGCTATGTGCAGTAACTTTGACTGACTGGCTGACAATAGTGCGAGGTAAAATCTATAATGTTCAAACTTGAAAAAGTTAGGATAAGAGCTGCATTAAATAGACAAGTGGCACATCTCTTTGTGCATCAAATGAAAAATGAACATTGCACCAAATAAAAGTGGAAATAGATGAAATGTCTCCATACTTACAGTTCCTGTGACAACATTCAGCTGTGTTAGAGCACTTCACACAAAGTGACAAAATGAGTCACTGTCAGGCTCGCTGTTTAACTCTCATGGAGAAACAATGAGGCATGATGCAGCAAAATGCAAAAACACCACCAAGCAATTTAAATAGCTGAAGCTTGTTTGGTAGTGAGATTTCAGAGTACCACAGGAAAGCAAATCTCCCAGGAGCCCGCTTCCCCCCCCTCCCTCTATCTCGTTAACAGAATTTGCTGATGGTATAAAGTAATCTTGGCTCCAGCACCAGTGTATGGATATTTTATACTGGGACCATATGGCAGATGGCTTATTTTAAATAAAAGTGAATAATGCATTCAGTATGGAAACCCACAATTTCATTTAATGATATGCAAAAATATTTTAAAAAACTCACTCCAACATACAGTCAGTAAAAACAAGCAGGCACATAAAGTCAATACATTAAATAAGCACCACATATGGTTTGCACAGGAAAATGGCCAGTTCTTGACCAACATTAAGCTTTGCATGTTTTTGTTTTAATTAACAGCTTTTTTTTTTGCTTTAGGATACCCTTGAATTTATTTCCTGTTTTGGGTGTGACAGGAACTGAGGATGACGGGACATTTTTCAATATCCAAAAGTTAAAAAAAGAGTAATACAGATATAAACCACGGTTGATGATACGGGGATTTGTCAGAAAATACGTCTGAGAGAAACAGCTAAGCTTGTCATACTTAAAGCCAAATATGTGCACCCATCTCCCTTCAGCACCTCCTCACCATCAGTCAGTTTCCACATCATATATTTTCTCCACTTCTGCCTGTTTCTGATAATGTAATCCTTTTTAGTTTTTTCATTTTTGTGCAAATTCTACAAAGTAAAAAAAGTTAGTTTCAAGAAAATCGAGGAAAACAAATATGTACTGTATAGTTGGAGTGCAAGCACCTCAATACAAACTGAACAAAACATAATTTAGGGGAAACAGTTTAATTTCATTCAATGGCCCTCGAGGTACCAATAAGTACCATTTTACGCTGCATGCTACTATGTGTAATTTATTGTGTTTACACGTCACAGTCTGTCATCACAAAGCTGCAAGGAGTGCAGTGTGTCCAGGGAAATATATTACTGTATCTCGCTTATTAGAATGACAAGTAACTGGAATAATTTCCCTAAATAAATCAGAGTTCCTCCAGTGTAAATTACAACTTTGAACACTGAATTCAAAGAAACGCGATGTACATCAGAAATGTATCAGTGCATGGGGAATTGCTTGTGTCTGATGTGTGTGTATTCATTGTAGAGTCATAGGACAATATCTGAAAATGATAAAATGTATATAAAGAAATTATAAACTCAGATAATGTTGTACTGTATGCATGGACATTATCTTATAAAGAGCCTTATTAATATTGTTGGAGGTAGAGGCAGGAATTTAAAATGCAACACCAGGGAAAAAGTGAGTAGTTTGAGTGTATAAATCTGATGAATCTACATGTCAATGGCTCATACTTCATCCTTATCTTCCTATGAAAGCATATTTCATGATGAGAACTCAATAGAGACAGAAAGGCGTGAGGGACCTGTCACTCGTCCTGCAGTTGGATGATTAAAGGACAGATTAAGGATTGCACATCATCACTGCAGTACAACCCGTGTTTCAAAGGAAATCTCCCTCTCTATACTGACAATGTGTAAATTGACTACCCCCTCTACATTTAGCCTTTACATTTTATTCCTCAACATTTATCATTAAGTTAAAGTGGACATTTTATGACAGTTTTATGCACATAAATTTGGAGGGCCTAACAACCCACAAACTGTGAAATAAAACAATCCCTGTTTGCATAAACGTGCATGAAAAATGCATGAGCTATTAAAATGAGAGTATGTTTGTTTTAATCCAATTCCAGACTGTCCCTTGCGGCCAATCAGACAGTAAGCCTAAAAGACAACAGTAGATTTTTAAAGCAAGGCATGATACAGCAGGGTTTTTTTTTTTTAAAACCGTCACACCCAGAGGCAGTAAGCCCAAAAGAAAACATAAATGTTTGGTGATAGATAGTGACAGAATAGGTTCAGAGAAATACGGATGTACACGTATGCATACATATCCCTGCTGTACATACACTTCTCTGTTTGGCTCTATATCAACAGTCAATCTCTCTCTCACTTCCTCCCTCTCTCAGTCTCTTTGTTTGAAATGTGAGGGACGTTAAAGCCTGCGTTAGGTCTTACTGCACCTACTGATACCAAAACTATATGCAAAAAGGATTGTTCTCACTGGCTGAATGAGAAATATTCATATCCTTCTGTCTATCAGTCTGTTTGCTAAAGTCTCAATGGAAATTTAGAGCGTGTTGTATCAGCAGGTAGTTAATCTGCATGTTGTACATTTCCCTCTTTCGTGAAACTAGTTTGCTTTTCTGCTGCCTCTCTATTCTAACAGTCACGCTTTCCTTTGTGACGCATTTAGACTGAAAACTTGGTAATGGTCCCAACTAGGGCTTATTTGGGAATTTGGCATGATTCTCCAAAAGCAAACCAAGTTATTATCAGTGAAAGCTGAAATAACATTTTGAATATCTTTCATTAACCTTTATTTTATTATTAGTCAGTAAACAGTGAGATTCCAATCTTCTATTTACAGACCTGCCTATACAATGTCAACGGTGCCAATCGAGGAAGAGGGTTTAATTTCTATGAAAATGTTTATTTCCAAATCAAAATTCATAACCACTATTTAACAACTTTTCTTACAACAAATATGGACTGGTCTTTTCAGATGTATGACAGAGGAGATGCTGCTTACATGTCTTGGAGTTCACTAGCAGAGGTTCACTTTGTCCCGTAGGGTAGGAAGCCGTCACTTGAACGCTGTACTCCGTCCCACTAAGTAGATTCAGAAGCATCTTGGAGTTCACATCTTCCCCCACAACTGTCTCCAAAACTGGTCCTGGAACTGAGAAACACGCACATGAGCACAGGCTGACATAATAAAGCAGGCAAGTAATGTAAAATGCAAACCAAATGTAGTTTTCTGCAATTTGTATTATTCCAAAAACATTTAATAATTAAGAATTGAAACGTTGTAAGGTTCTTAACATCTTTGCCAACATTTCCCCGAGATAGCATTACATGCATACACATGGTAAGTGTCCACAAGCTTTCTCTCATGTTGCTTGAGTTAAAGATGAAAATATACACAGCCAAAAGGGTTGTGTGAGAATCACTTAAGAGTCTGAGACTTAATGTTATCAAATATACTTCTAAAACTGATAACTAAAGGCTCTACACTGCAACACAAGCACAATATACATTCACAGTTTTCTCTACATTGATCATTAGCTAGTGAAAAAGGGGACATTCTGCATTAGCCTGGATCTTTGAACATGATTCTTAGACTTTAACATACCAGAAAATACAAGTTGCTTCCATCTACCTCAGTCTGAAATCAATAACCTATTGTTAAAGATATTACAGAGAACTTTGAGGGGCCAATCTGTAAAAAGCATTACTATTAGCTGCATCACAATCTTTTCATACATACACCTGCAAATATTCTCAAAAATAATGTAAGGAATGAACCATCAAAGCTGTAAGCAGGAGTCGGCTTTACTAGACACAGATATCTTGAAGAACCTAACACATGGAAAGAGGCATAATCCTGCATTAATACCTATTATAAAGGGCTGAAGATACAAATTGAATAAAACCAATACAAGAAAAGAAAAGCAGCAATTATCTTAACAACCCACCAGACACTGGAACTGTTGGCATTTGCACACAGGCACTTTTTATTCAATTGATTCTCACGATGAAAACAGAAGCCTTGTGAAATTCATTTACCTTCAAATGCAAACCTAAAATCAGATGAATGCAGCATGTCTATTTAATTAAATTAGAGTCATTGCCAAAAACCAGACATGGAAACTCAAAATACTGGAGCCTTGCCTTGTTAGGATGAAACAAATAGCACTACAGAAGCAGCAGAACAGTGAAAATGGGCTTTTGATGATGCTTCGAGAAAATAAATAAAACAAGAAGTATAACATTTTATTCCAGCTCTGGATCACTGACGTTTCCTTGATGCCTCAAGCGTCTTATTAAAAAGAGAAACTAATGGCGCATTCACACTACAGCGCGGAGCTCGCTTTAAGCGTGCCGAGCCGGGCCTGTTTTTGGTTGCGCTTACACTTGGCCTAGTTCCGGCCCGGGGCTACTTTTTCACCTTTTTTCTGGCCCGACTAAATCGTGGTTCTATCGAGGCCAACAAACAGGGCTGAGTCGGGCTGAGTTTGCTAAACTAGAGAGAGAATCGCTGTCAAGGGGGCTACAACTACAACAAGATGAACATATTTTACCGTGATTTAATTGTAATACACGTTTCAAAATGATGCCGAAGTAACAACATACTGATACCGGTTAGTAAAAACCATGAATCCAGCCTGTCTCCCTGAGCGAAGTATATACCACCTTAAAAGAATAAAGAACTCACAGCTGTCTAACAGTGTTCAGCGTGTGTTCAGCGTGTGTTCAGCGTGTGTTGTGCGTGTGTTCAGTGTGTGTTGTGTGTGTGTTCAGTGTGTGTTGTGTGTGTGTATCTATATACCATATATAGGCTGGTAGACGATCCTGTACCCTGTTGTAGGAGACTGAGGGGGATCCCAGGTGACTCTGAAGCGGTTGTACCACTCCTCTGACACACGCAGGTTTCCAGGAGACAGGAGGGGCACTGCCAAAACACAAACAAAATCGGAACACAGAGGTCCATCTCAAAAGCTTGACTCAAAGATGTCCTGTGTAAATGTGTTTTAAACCAAAATAAGCTATGGTTACATCTCCAAAATGCAATGTCTCTAACAGACGTGTCAAATGCATTTCCTTCAAGTATTCATAGTGTATAAGGTATGAATTAGGGCTTGATATCATAGAAACTGCTGATTCTTGTGAGAAACACTGCCTGAATTTTATTATAAAAACTTAAGCAATCTTTTTTTTTTTTTTAAATAACAAGCCCTCTTTTGCAGGAAACAGACTGAACACACATTCACATTTCTAAAACCTTGCTTTATATATCTATGATTAAAGGATTGCTTCCACAAAGGCAGCTGAGCTATAGGCTAGCAGCTAAATATGCTAACAGTATGAACAGCACAAACAACAGAAACAGTTTCATAGGGCTAATCATGTTTTTTGTTATTGGTCTCAATAAAAAACTATAAAAACTAGGCATAGCACTCGGTATATAATTAGTTCAAATAATTATATCTTTCAACACACTAATGCAATATAATATATGTTAACATAGCAGCACAACTTTATTTTTTTAGTTTTTTGTGGATTGGTTGAATTTGAGTTATCACAAGTTGGAAAATATTGTAGACCTTAATTAAAGAGAGAAGATAGATCTCCATTAGAAACATGATCACCAAATGATCATGTTTTACTGTATATCCAAGTGTGGCTGCGCTCTGATTTACCACTAGGCAGCATTCCAAGCTCGGGACGTATTGGTACAGCAATATTGCGAGCTATTACAGTACCCTCATCTTATAAGATGACATATTCTGTCTGAAATTTCAATTTTCTGTACAGCGAAGAGACAATCACTGCTGCTAATTAGAGGCTATCAAGAGAATAGTTGGAGAAATTAATTAGCGTTGAGCAAAATAATTCAATTGTCTCGTTAATGAAGGGAGCTGCTGTAATTATGAATGGCCTTCATTGAGACAATTAGGAACACACCAGTATTTGTCATAGCTTTAATTCATTTTCTCCCTCAGGAACGTAAATGAACATAAAATGAATGCAACAGTGCAAATGAACATTCTGCTCGCTGCAATAAAATTCATTTTCATTAGCTTTTGGTATTGCCAGATGTGTTCACTTAAACTGGGACTCGCATATTTTTATGAGGAAAATTTGAGGAACCGAGAGTTGACCCCTGGGATAACTGTGTTTGTGTGTGTGTGTGTGTGTGTGTGTGTGTGTGTGTGTGTGTGTGTGTGTGTGTGTGTGCATCAGTGATCAGGGTCAGAAAATGGCACTGAGCTCAAGGGCTCTTACCACAGAGAGAGGAATCAGGAAGATGAGGCTGAGCAGACCGGGACTAAAAGTGTAATCAGTTTTCTGATTGGAGCAGATGACCCCTCACTGACCGCTGAAATCACCATCCAGTTGGGTGGAGGTGTGAAACATTAAGGGTCTTCCTCAAAATATATCTCCAGTGTCGTCTGTTTAGTTTACTCAGTGTTCACAACTCAGCAGGGAACTAGTTTGTTTATGTGAATGTGCATAAGGAGGGAGACTTTAGAAACTATACACAGGGATATACAAATAGCTCTTCATTAAATCACTCTGCCCAAAACCATAGACCCCATACAGCGAATGCCACTGACACCTCTAAATGAACTTCATTCTTTATGAAAGATTGAGTTTTACAGCCACAGCTTGATCAACTCACAAACTCTTCTTCGTGGTCGCCCCTGAGGTCAGCATAGGAGACTCTGTAGCTTTTCACAAGGGGGTCTTCCAGCTCCCAGGATGCCTCTAAGCTCTGGGTGGTCTCGTCACTCAGCTGCAGGTTCCTCGCAGCATGGCGTGCCACTGTCACACCACATCATAGACAACAGGGAGTTAGAAGTTGGCTAAAGTTACATTTTCTCAACTCTTAATGTGCTTCAATAGATTGTGGATTACAAGAGTGAGTCAGAATGCCAGAATGCTTAAAGAAAATCATAGCGGGCAATGTCAACGTGCCGATATGCTCAGACTGCTGTGATGAGCTGGATAATTCAAGTCGCGGTTAAATCTTGCCAGATGGAGCTTTTTTTTCTTCTCAGGAACACAACTCAGAGTTTGAAATGGTTTTAAACCAAGACGTTTTCAATCAATCAATCAATCAATGTTTATTTATATAGCCCAATATCACAAATGTTACATTTGTCTCAGTGGACTTCACAGTTTGTACAGAATATCAGTATGACAACACGACACCCTCTGTCCTTAGACCCTCACATCGTACAAGGAACACTTCCAGAGAAAACCCACAGTTTAAAGGGGAACATGAGAGAAACCTCAGGGAGAGCAACAGAGGAGGGATCCCTCTCCCAGGACGGACAGACGTGCAATAGATGCCGTGTTTAAATCGAAGAGATAATACA